GACAATTGTGACGCTGTGGGGCCAATGGAAGCAAGGGGCCATTGTGACACAGCTGGGCCTCATGCAGCCAAGGGGTCACTGCGATCCTGAGGAGCTCAAAAGAACCAAGGGGCCATTTTGTCACTCTGCAGCTGTGGAGACCCTGAGAGGCATTCCCTGGGTTAGGGAGACACAAGAAGCTTCCCTCAAAAGCTTTTTGACCCCATTGGCTCCTTCCCATTGTTCTGTGTCTCTCAGCCACTCCCTCCCCATTCCCCCACTGGCCCCCATCTTTGTACTGCCCCCATGGCACTGATCAGCCCCTTCCTCTGGAGAGACAGGAACCTGGACTCTCCCCAGGAGTCCTGCCTTGTGACCCTGAACATCTCACTGCACGGCCGAATCAAACATCTCTGGGTACCATGCAAAGGCCCTTTGTGCTTCCCTACCCTGGGCTTTATTAGCAGCTATTCCAGCTACAACAATGGTCCATTATGGCAGTGTGGATCCAAAGACACCATGGTGACACTGTGGGACCTCATGGATCCAAGGGCCCATTGTGACACTGAAGAACTTCATGGAACCCAGGGTCCATTGTGACACAGCAGGGCCTCATTGGAACAAAGGGAACCATTGCTGACAGTACAGAAACTCATGGAACCAAGGGGCCGTGGTGACACAGCAAGGCCACATGGAACCCAGGAGACCAGTGACATTTAGGGACCTGATGGAACCAGGGTCCATTATGGCACTGCAGAAACAAGGAGACCATTGTTGATGCTATGGAAGCTCACGGAACCAAGCAGGCATTGTGACACTCCAGGGCCTCATTGAACCAGGCAGACCATTGTGACACCACAGAACCTCATGGCACTGAGGGTTTATTGTGACACAGCAGGGCCCATGGAGCCAATTGTCCATTGTGACAATGAGGATCTGAGGAGACCATGGTGACACCATGGAAGCTCATGGACCCATGGGGCCATTGTGACAAAGGAAGGCCTTGTGGAACCAAGGATACCATTGTGACATCATGGAACCTTGTGGAACCAAGGAGACCATTGTGACATCATGGAACCTTGTGGAACCAAGGAGACCATTGTGACATCATGGAACCTCTGGAACCAAGGGTCCATTGTTACAGTCCAGAACCAAGGAGACCATTGTGACAGTACAGAACCTCACGGGACCAAGATTCCATTGTTATACACTGGGGCTTCATGGAACCAAGGAACCACTGTGACACAGCCGGGCCACATGGAACCAATGGTCCATGGAGATACTGCAGATCCAAGGAGACCATGGTGATGCTGTGGAACCTCATGGAACCAAGGGGCCATTGTGACACTCTAGGGCCCCATGGAACCAAATATTCATGGTGACACAGCGGGGCTGCTTGTGACCAATTGTCCATTGTGACACTGCAGATCCAAGAGACCAGGGTGACACTGTGGCAGTTGATGGAACCAAGTGGCTGTTGTGACACACCAAGGCCTTGTGGAACCAAGGAGAGCATTGTGGCAGTGCAGAACCAAGGAGGCCATTTTGACAGTACAGAACCCAATGGAACCAAGGGTCCATTGTTCTACAGCAGGGCCTCATGGAACCAAGGGGCCATTGTGAAACTGTGGGGCATAATGGAGCCAAGGACACCACTGATACTGAAATCCACTGGATAGAAACTTCTGAACGGAGTTTGGAGTATTTGAAAGCAGGTATTCTTTATTACAGCATGGTGGTCACTTGGGCCATCCTTCCTCCATTTGAGTGCACTGAGCATCAAATGAACAGGGTTTTTATCACACACACTCATTATGTATCCATTAGCTATCCCCATGTCTTTGAGTTTATTTGGCATAGTTGCACCCCTTATCACAAGTCCTTACATGGTTCTTTGGGGTCTGTCTTCAACATCCAGTGTCCTTTTTAGGTGGCTGTTTCTTGACCCCCCCTTTAGAGTAAGGGCAATATTATTGTTCTGCGTAACTTCTGTTTTGTCAGCCTTGCAGAGCTGAGCTGGCATCCTGCTTGCATTTTGTGTGGCTTCTGTTTGCCAGAGGCATATCCTCAATCAGTTTCTCCAAGGCTGTGCTGTTCTGTTCTACTGTCCTTGACAAGAGTAAATGTTGTTCTGTTCTCCTGTCCTTGTCTCAGTGCTCGCCCCGCATGAGGCGTCTGCAACCCCCCCAACCTATGGGCCTGGGGTGGGCAAATGTTCCTGGGGAACAGGGATGGGACAGCTGGGCTGGACTGACCCAAGGGATGTTCCACTCCATGTCACACCATGATCAGCAATCACCTGAGACAAGCAGGTAGGGGATTAATTTCTTTTAGAGACATTTTTATTTCAAAACAGCACCTACACATACAGAATCCTCTCCTGCCTCAAGGTGGTCAAACATTTTCTGCTGATAGGAGATTTCACATGGATTTTTTTTTCTTCTGTTTGTGGCCTTTTCTTTCTGTGGTTGGTTTGTTTGTGGGGTTTTTGTGTTGTTGTGGGTGGGTCCTGCTGTGGGTTTGTTATAAATGATCGAATCAGTAGCCAAATTTATGAAAAATTTAACAAAGATTTATTAGATCGATAACAAAAATATAAATTTTGAAAAAGCACCACAGCCAAGACAGCGTCAGCCCCAGGTGCAGGCGCTGGGTGACCGAGGGTTCCGGCTGACAGAGTGACAGCGTTCCCCCACAGGTTCACCCCGAGTGCTTCTGGCAGCCACCTTATATACAGTTTATTCTGCCCGAGGCAGGGATGACCCCATATTTCTTTGTGTCTCTTTGCATGTAAAGTTGGATCCATACATGTGCAGAAACAGACAAAGATGACTCCATAGACCCTGACAAATGTCTGAGTATCCAGGCAGTAGCTGCATTCACATGTAGTAGGGTGATACCAGTTCCTGAGTACTGCAGATGTAATCATGCCCAGGTGCAGGTCTTGTGAGCTCCTTGAGACATTCCATTAATCATGGTCAAGGAAGGTCCAGATGCTATCTCCCAGATGCAGGTGCCAGAGGAAATCCTCTATGATGGCCCAAAATTGTCCCACTCATACGGTAACAGACCTGATAATATCTTAATGCTGTCCGGGAACTGGTTCCAATGAAAATAGAACTCTGTTCCCAGCCAGAGTGGTCAAAGGCATAACTTTGGGTCTTAACAATATTTTATACACACATATATCTACTTCGATAGCATGAATTATCTCTACTATATATTACAGGGTTTTGTTGGGTTTTTTTTTGTGTGTGTGGGTTTTTCCCTATTGAACTGCCTTTCTTCTGATGCATCAGTTTTTTCTGGCCTTTCTTGTGGCTTGCTTGGCACCTGATGGCAAGACAAATTTACCCAACTCACTCATCTTGCCCAATTATGTATTGCAGTCACCACTGACTAGGTGAGTTTGGTCACAGACTCCCTGCAATTTGGCAGCATCCACAAAGGAATTGAAAGTTCATTTCATGCCATTTTAGAGACAATAGAACTATTCCACAGTGGTGGCCAAGGGCTGGTCACTGAGGGATGTCACCAGGGCGTGGCTGCCAAGAGGACTCTGTACCATGGATGACATTTGACCCTCATTGTTCAGCCAAATTCCCACCCAGCCCATGTTCCACTCCTTCAGCCCAGCTCTCTCCAGTCTGGCTCTGAGGAGACCACAGCAGACCCTGTCCCAGGCCTGGCTGAAGTCTGGGCACACAACATCCCCTTCTTTTCCCTCCCACGTGGGTTCTGCAGTGCCTGCCCTGTCCTGCCAGTGCCTGGAATGGCTGCAGGAGGATTTGCCACATCCCCTTCCCTGCTGAGCCTGACCAGGCTGTGACTCTCCCAGTCCCCCTCCCTGCCCTGTTTGCAGACTGGTTCCATGTCTGCCCTTCCCAAGTGCCCAGGACCCTCTGGGATGGCTCTGGCCTTTCCAAGGGGTTTGAGAGAGGTCCCACAGTGACACTGCCCAGCCTTCTCAACAGCCCTGACACCAAAATGCTCTTCCAGAGGAGTGCCCAGGACACAGCCCTGTCCAGCTGTCCCTGTCCTGAAGGCCAGTTTAGATGGGTGACTCTGGTGTGTAATTCCCCCACTCACAGCTGTCCTGAGCACTTTTCTCAGTGCCTCTCTAAGCCCATCCTTTCTGCTCCACAGGCTGTATGTGAGAGAATTCAGCAGGGGGGAGGACTGTGTTTAGAAAATGCTCTGTCAGAAATGTCTCAGGAGACACAACAGATCTGGGCACCAGTGACACTGAAAATCATGAGGATGCCCCGGAAAACTGAGGCACTGCAAAGTAAAAGGAGGAGGTAGAGAAAACCTTCCCCTGCCATCAGCCCTGGCACAAGCTGCAGAGCCCCAGGAAGGTTCAGCACAGACCATTCACCATCTGATGGGCACTGGCCACCCACAAGCAAAACCTGACCCAGACCTGAGTGTCTTGTAGGTGATACTGGGACCATGATCTGATCCCACTGAGCCTTGGGAGAACAATGAGCCTCTTTAGAGTCCATCCCTTGGCATGTTCTTGAGAGAGACTGTGGCAGAAGCCTTCAGGCACTGGGCTGAGGAGATCCCTTTGCTGATGGCAGTGCTGGGCTGGAGGTCAGATCTCTCACAAAAGCTCTCATTGCTCTCCCTGCTCCCAGAGCACTCAGACCTCAGAGAACAAGGGCTCCAAAGGAGAGTGTGGAGGAGCCAAGAGCAGCTCTGAAAAGATCACATGCTGGTGCTCCCTGTCTGTGCTGCTGTGCTGCAAAGCATCACAGCTTTTACAGAAGTCTCAGCGGAAGGGTAGCAGAAAAGGCATTTGAAGCAGGGTCCTTTATTTTGTTTAAAAACCACAGAGCACAATTCCCAATTTAAAAAATCTGTCAGTCAAATTCAAGAGGAAAACACTTAAATAGAAGAGGGATGAATAATAAGGTTATGTTGTGATCAAGATCACAAGAAAACCAAAATTATCCACCCACAACACTACCAATATATGAAAAGGTAGAGTGAGTCTGTAATGAGTTATATTCTGAATGTTATGCTATACAAAAGGGGTACTTCAGTCCTTCTGAAAAGCATCCAGTCATCATTTTTCTCATGCCATCCTTGAGCTCCTGGTTCCTCAGGCTGTAGATGAGGGGGTTCAGGGCTGGAGGCACCACTGAGTACAGAACTGACAGGGCCAGATCCAGGGATGGGGAGGAGATGGAGGGGGGCTTCAAGTGGGCAAATGTGCCAGTGCTGACAAAAAGGGAGACCATGGCCAGGTGAGGGAGGCAGGTGGAAAAGGCTTTGTGCCGTCCCTGCTGAGAGGGGATCCTCAGCACAGCCCTGAAGATCTGCACATAGGAGAAAACCATGAACACAAAACAACCAAATAAGAGAAAAGCACTAACTACAATGAGCCCAAGTTCCCTGAGGTAGGATTTGGAGCAGGAGAGCCTGAGGATCTGGGGGATATCACAGAAGAACTGGCCCAGGGCATTGCCATGGCACAGGGGCAGGGAAAATGTATTGGCCGTGTGCAGCAGAGCATTGAGAAAGGCACTGGCCCAGGCAGCTGCTGCCATGTGGGCACAAGCTCTGCTGCCCAGGAGGGTCCCGTAGTGCAGAGGTTTGCAGATGGACACATAGCGGTCGTAGCACATGATGGTCAGGAGGGAAACCTCTGCTGACATAAAGAAAAAAAAAAAGAAAACCTGTGCAGCACATGCTGAGTAGGAGATGGTGCTGGTGTCCCAGAGGGAATTGTGCATGGCTTTGGGGACAGTGGTGCAGATCATGCCCAGGTCGCTGAGGGCCAGGTTGAGCAGGAAGAAGAACATGGGCGTGTGCAGGTGGTGGCCGCAGGCTACGGCGCTGATGATGAGGCCGTTGCCCAGGAGGGCAGCCAGGGAGATGCCCAGCAAGAGGCAGAAGTGCAGGAGCTGCAGCTGCCGCGTGTCTGCCAATGCCAGCAGGAGGAAGTGCCTGATGGAGCTGCTGTTGGACATTGCTTCACTCTGGGCATAGTGAACTGTTGAAACAAGACATTGACAAGCTCTTTGAGTCAATCCTATGGGGTTATTTTAGGAATTCTCTAAAAACTACTTCTCTAACTGTGGCGGAACTTCACTCAACATTTTTATTCTTGAATTTGGGGTTATGCTCCTGAGTTACTGCCTCATCTTCAGCACTGTTCTCAGCCTGAACCCTGGGGAAGCCCAGAGGGAAAACAGGGCTCCCTGTGCCCCAGTGCAGTCAGACCTGCTCATCCCCACACAGGTGCCCTTTGCCTATTACACCTCCCTCTAGTTCAGCGGGACTGAACATAAAACGTGCTTGAAAAATAAAGTGGAGTTTGTAAAGACTCCAGATTTAATGTCAATTTCTCTAAGCCCCTCTCTCTTTCCCAGTGCAGCTGAACATGGAGGGATGCAAAAGGTTGTCCTGGCTCTGTGCTGCCTGCAGTTGTGCCTGCTGGGAGCTGTTTCCCTCTATCCAAGCCTTGTCCCTGCCAGTGCTGCCAGAGCCCAGCCCAGCCCTGGGGGCTCAGCTCTGCCCTGCAGACCCCTCCCAGCACAGGGCACTGCCCAGGGGCATCTCCCTGGCAGCAGGGCCTTAAGGGCAGGCCAGACAAACAGAGATGCTGCAAGCCAAGGTGCTGCTGCTGCTGTGTGTAGGGAGAGGAGGCTGAGGAGGCACTTTCTGAGGGAGATCTGAGGCCCATCTGCTGATGCCCAGGCTGACAGGGCAGGAGGCTCAGTGACACAGCCAAAGCTGACAGCCCCTTTCCCTTCCCTTTAGGAGAGAGCTGAGAGCAGCCCTGGCCATGCAGCACCATCTCCAGAGCAGGAGGAATCTGCCCTGATGGGGGTGGCTCCTTGCACCTGGAACTTCTCCCCTGCAGCGTCCATGGGGAGCTGCCAGGCAGGCTGAGAGCTGCCCCTGGCAGGTGGCACCTGCCCTGGGCTGGCCAAGAGCCCTGAGGGCTGCAGGAGCTGCTCTGCAGGACAGCCCTGGGCAGCCCTGGCTGCAGCCCCAGCTTCAGCCCCTGCAGCCGTCCCTGGCAGCAGGAGCCGTCCTGCCTTGTCCCTCTGACGGTGCCCAGGGCAGCCCCGCTCTGCAGCACATCCTCCTCCTCCTCCTCCTCCTCCTCCTGCTCCTCCTGTGCCACAGAGAAACTGGGAGAGTCCTCCTGACACATCCCCCAGGCTCTGGGGTGTGCTGGCTTCAGGAGATCCCTCCAGGAGCACAGGGGACATTGCCCTGCACCCACACACTCACCATGCACAGGGCTGTGAAGATCTTTCCCCAGCTGAAGTCTCAGCTCAATGTCTTCCCAATCCTGATTGCCTTCAGCCTGTCTCTGCCTGGCTCCTGTGCCCTCAGTGCCTGCAGGCAGAGCCCTCAGCCCTGCTGGGCTGGGAGAGGAGCTGGCCCTGGGAAGAGCTGTTCCTTTAAAGCTCAGCAGCACAGACACAGCACAAGGACTTTAATGAGCCTCTTGGGGATTTGGTGTTGTTTACATCAGACTCAGTCCCTGAGAGAGTAATCAAAAAACTTCTCAAGAATTCAAACTTAAATTGAAACACTGAAGTTTCTTGAAGTTTTAATGGGTTCCACTGAGGAACATGACTGAGAAAGTGTCCCCAGGTTCCAGGTAGAGCAGAACCCTGCAGGCAGTGATGACAGCTGTGGACAAACAAGGCCAAGGTGTCTCTGGTGCTGAGCAAAGCTGGATGTGTTTGAGGAATGCCAAGGGCCAAGGCCTGAGCCCCAGGGTCTGGCCAGGCAGATGCTGTCCCTCCCTCCTTGCTCAAGGCTCTTGCCGGGATGGGCACTGGCATGTGGGGATGTGCAATGCCAAGGGCAGGAGCATGGGGCGGCCCCTGCCAGGCTGCTGAGCAGGGACAAGGAGGCCATGAGGCCCCAGGCCTGCAAGGGTCACTTGTCTCCTGCTCCTACCTTAGGCCCAGGCCCAGCAGCCATGGCCAAAGTGCTGCCCAAGTTGGCTCTGGCAGGGCTGTCTTGCAGCTGCTGCCCATGCCTATGCCCTGTGCAGCCCAGGCTGTCCTACGGTGTCCCTGCCCTGCGCCTCTGTCCCTGCAGGCTGTCGGCATCCCCCGCCTGCCCCACCTGGCTGGGCCCTTCCTTTGCTGACAGCTCTGCCTCCTGCCTTCCTCTGCCTGCCCACACAAAGCCTTGGACTGACCCAGACTTCTTCTGGGGGATGTGTTGCACCACAGCCCTGCCCTGTGAGGGAAATTCCTTTCTCTTTTTTCCTAATCTTGTCTTCCCCAGGTTCCCATAGCTTTGATTTTTTTTCTTTCTCTGGCTGTTCTCTACCATGGTACAATGATCCACCCTTCAGTCCCTCCCAGGGCTCTCCTCTGCTGTCCTCAGTCTCCACCCCACTGAGCACAGAGCTCCTCTGTCCCTGTACAGTGCTCATGTGCTTGAGGCCATGGGTGCCTGGACAAGAAGGACGGTTCTTTTCTACAGGAAGGAAACCACAGAGCCCCAGGGTTTTGAAGGCAGATCAGAGGCAGTCACCAGAGGCCAAGGCAAGCCAGAACTGTCTGTCCTTGCAGCTTTTGTCTGAAAGCAACCCTTGGATATTTGGGTAGTTTTGGAGGTGGAATTCCATTTCAGCCATGAGTGCCTGGACCAGAATGACAGTTCTTCTCCACAGGAAGGAAAGGGCCGAGCCCCAGTGTTGCAAAGGCTGGTTAGCAGCAGCTCCAAGGAGGCCAAGGCCAGCCAGACCTGTTTGTCTTGGCAGCTTTTGTTTGGGTGCTGTTCTTGGGTAGATGGAGTTTGGGAGGCCAAATCCCAGTTTTGTCCATGGGCACCTGGATGAGAAGGACACTTCTTTTCCATAGGAAGGAAAGTACAGAGCCCCAGTGTTTCACAGGCAGATGAGAGCTGGCCCTCAGGAAGCCAAGGGAACCTAGAAAGTCCTGGCAGCTTTTGTCTGGGAGCTATCCTTGGATATAAGAAATTTTGGAGGCAGATTCCAGATTCTGGTTATGGACACCTGAAAGATGATTTTTCCATGGAAAGAAAAGCTTGGCCCCCCTGTGTTTTGAAGGCAGATGAGAGGTGGCCTCCAAGATGCCAAGGCCACCCAAAGCTGTCTGTCCTGGCAGGTTTCATACAGGAATCATCCTTCGATATAACTGAATTTGGATGTAGAATCCAAATTTCAGCCATGAACCCCTGGAGGAGGAGAGTTCTTTCCCACAGGAAGGAAAGCACAGAAGTCCAGGGTTTTAGGGGCAGATGAGAAGCAACCCTCAACATGCCAAGGTCAGCGGGACCAGTCAGGCCAAGCCAACCAGAACTTTTCCATGTTCTTGGATCTTTGGGGCCCTGCAGCATCACAATTGCCCCTAGGTTCCATGAGGCCCCATAGTATCAAAACAGATCTTTGTTTCCATAAGTCCAGTGATATCACAGTGGTCTTTTGGGTCCCCATTGGCACAATGTCCCCTTGATTCCATGAGGCCTTGCAGTGTCAAAATGGTTTCCTTGGTTCCGTGGAACAGCGCAATGGCACAATGGTCCCTTGGTTCTATTGGGCTCCCCAGGATCGCAATGGACCCTTGGTTCCTCAGGGCATGGCTGTGGCACCTTGGTGCCATGGAGACTCAGGGTGCCAGATTTTTCTCATTGCTTTCACAAGTCCCTGCAGTGTCACAAAGAGCTCCTTGGTTCCACAAGGCCCTGCAGAGCCCCTTGATTCAACAAGGCTCAAAGTGCCATAATGGTCTCCAGGATTCCATGAGGCCCTGCAGTGTCACAAGGGCTCCTTGGTTCCATGAGGCCCTGAAGTACGGAATGGCTTCTTGATTCCATTGGGCCCCTCACTGTCACATCAGTTCACAGTTCCATGCAGCCCTGTAGTGTCACAATGGTCTCCTTGGTTCCACAGAGTTAAAATGTCCCCGTGGTCTCATGGAGCCCCACTACGATCCCCTTGATTCCATGAGGCCCTGCCGTGCTACAATGAGCCCTTGGTTAAACGAGGCCTCGCAGTGTCACAATGGCCCCTTGGTTCCAGTGGGTCCAGAAGTGTCCTAATGATCTCCATGGTTCCATGAGGCCCCAGAATGTCACAATGGACTTTTGTTTGCAGTATGGAAACTCCGTAAGTTTCCATACTGCCAACAAGTCTCCTTGGTTCCACAGTGTTATAAGTGACCCTGGGTTCCATGAGGTGCCTGGCCTCCCACAGCCTCTCAGAGACCCTTCTCCACCTCAAGGTCCCCAACGGCCCTTCATGGCCTCTCAGAGCCCCCCATGGCCCCTCACAGCCCCTCTCAGCCCCCCATGGCCCCTCATGGCCCCTCACGGCCCCTCACAGCCCCAGGCCCGGGGCTCCTCCCTGTAATAGGTTAATTTCTCAAGTTTGTTCATCAAAAGGAAAAGCCGATGAAAAACCACAAGATAAATATAACGGGCTAATATGTTGCAAAATGTCATAAGGCTTAAACCGCAATATTAGTCACAAGCTAATATGTTGAAAAGCTGAATATGCAATATGTAACTATATGCAGCCACACACCTATATATGGTAAAGGCTATTGCAGGGTCATCAAAACTCTGAGAGACAGGACAGGAGCCTTCCTCCAAATGACCACCAAAAGGCAGAAAAAGACCCCCTAGCAACTATCGGCGCAGACGCAGAAAACACCAGAAAATACACAACCACGACAGATAAAAGAGAGGCCTGAACAGCCAGGTGGGTGTGAGCTGTTGGTGGAGCAGAGACTCCCCGGCTGGACCCAGCCCAGTAATTTGCCTATTACTGTTTGCTCTGTCAATTAATAAATTATATTTCATTTGGACTCGCTTGTCGGTGATTGGCTCCTCACCACAAATTATAACCCTCATGGCCCCTCACAGCCACAGGCCTGGGGCTCCTCCCAAAGGAGAAGGGGTCGGGCCCTGCTTGTTCTCCTTTTATTTCGGTCCCTTCACAGCCACGAGTGCAGAAAGGCTGAAATGGAGCCTTTCC